GTGCTGGCAGCGCTCCCCCTCAGCCCTCCAGGGCCAGAACTGCTCGGGCTCCAGCCGGCGGCCGCAGCCCCGCCTTGGGGAGCAGGCGGCAGAGCCCGGCGCCTGCCTGGTTCACCAGCTCCAGGCCCGGTCCCGCTGTGAGGCGGAGGCCAACCACATCCCAACTGCCCGAGTCAGAGCCCTGGAGCTGCCTTGGATGAGGAATGAGCCTCCTTCCCCCGCTCACAGGCCTGGGGACCGCACTGCCCTTGCCCACCCACCTTCACAAGATGAGTTTCCCCTTCCAAAGAAGGGGACAGGACGACAGTCTTCTGGCTCTAGTGAAATCATTCACCTCAGCATTTTTTTATTTTTTTTTTAGACATGGGAGATTGCAAGCAAGGTTCAGTTTTTCAGAGGGGAGCTCCTTTCTTTTACACTCCTGTTCTAAGGGGTGATGGCAGTAAAACTGGCTGAACCTCCTGAAAGTGAAAATCAAACCAACACAAATTTAGAGCCTGGGCTCTACATGTAGTATCAGAGGTTTATTAAAATAACCTCTAATTGCAGCTGGCCATTTTGCCAGGGATCACCATGATAAGAGACCCTAGCTAACAGACAATTGATGGGGTTTTTTCTCATAATTTGAAGATCTTGAAACATTTCTGATTTTGCAAGATGCCTGAAGAGAAGTGAATAGTTCTCACTGAACAAAATGATTTACTAATAAATGCTTCACTATCTTCTCTGAATTTTGTTGTTTTGGGGGAGGAGGTGGATTGGAACTCTTTACTGACAAGTAAAAGATGACATTCCCTGGTAGACCAGAAAAATGGGTATGTATCCATATTTTAAAATGAAGAGCACCAAAGTTTTCCCTTTCCTTCCTTTATCATAGAAAAATGGTTACAGAATCCCATGTCGAAAGTAAAATATCAGATGAACTGTAATGTTCAGATGATAACATAAGAGAGACTGATGGGGGAGGGAATGGCATTTTATGGTCACCATATTATAGGGCATGTTCTTCAGCACACATTTATTCACCATGCCTATTTGTAAAGACATCTAAGCATGAAGATTATTTCAATGTAACTCTTTAAAGAGGGCACAGAAATCAACCAAAAGCGCCTTACAATTGTAACACATTTGTAACAGGGAGAAAAGGGAAGAATCAAAAGAAAAAGGAATAGTAGAAAAGGAACAGGTATTTTGTGTTTTGATCCTTGTAATGCTTACATTATCTATTAGACCTGATTTTCAACATTAACATCCGTTTCATTCAGTTGGAATAACAGTTGGCCTAGCCCTTTATTTGATCTTCTAAATATGGATTCTTGACTTAGCTACTACATTTATGCAAGCCAAAACCTGAGTCTCATTTTACTTTTGAAAAAAACCTTTAAGTAACTTATTCATCCAGATTTTTTTTTGCCTTCTGTTGAACAGCATTTATTACAAACTAAGTGATAAAAGTAGCTTCAGTAATCATTTCTTCCACTAATTAGTTCCCTCCCCACTCCTCTTTTGCCTTAGCTCTGAGACAAAAATATAAAGAATGTTATATGGACTCCTTCCCATTGACTCATGACAACATGGCAGAGGCAGTTTTTCTGAGCAAAGTCTGGCCTCATAGGGAGATATATTAGGCCATATGGTTGCTGAATTTGTGTAAGACCTTATGGTGGAGGGATCCTTTTGGCATCTGTGTAGCCTTCTACATACTTCAGGGATATTTAATGATTTAAAAAAAATCTCAGGGTGGAGAGAGGCACCTCTCTATGGTTCAGCACCTCTTCCAGTGGCCACTGAGCCTGAACTGTAATGAATTTATGTTGTAAGGACTGTGTGGTTATGTATACTTGGGTATTATGCATATTTGAAAATAGTTCTCTCCCTTAGCTGGGCACTAGGTCCCAAAGGAGGCCTCTGTATTTAAGGGATGGAAGTATTTCCATTGGTAATGCCCAACAGCTAGATTTGGAATATAGTTTTATTCAAAAAACAAAAACAAAAAAATGTTTCAAGAAGCAGATGAGTTAGCTAACTGACAACAGTGTAATTACTTTTCACTTCATTTACAAACCAAAGCACTTAAAACCAGTGAAATGAATAGTTAAAGACAGCATGAATTTTATGCTGTCCATGTAACAAATGCATTATTCTTAACCAGAACAAAGAAATTTCAGCTTGTCAGAAGATATTGTTGCTATGCTGATGTAAACCATGGTCTCAATCTTGCAACTGCTTTTGTTAATTTATGCACAGGAATAGATCCCACAAGCACTCCTCACGTTTATAAATGGCAGGAGCAGGACCAAATCTCTGCATACAATGTAGATGCAAACTAGCCTCCATGCATCTGTTAAGAAAGAATCTAGTAACAATCATAAATAATCTAGCACAAGACTATCCTGTTTCTAGGATTCCTCATGGAGAACTTTGTCCTATATTCAGAGCCCAGAGGACTGTTCCCTATCTTGTTTATATAGGTAGAGGTAAAAAGCCACATCTGCCACAGGAAGTCAGTCAAAATCTCTGGATCTGCCAGCAGTGTTCCAACATCTGTTAAGAATATGAGTCAACAGGAGGCACCCTGCCATACTGATACAAATTAAAACATATGTCTTTATATATGACCCATAGATTTGAACAATACAGTAAAATCTCTGTTATCCAGTACTTCACCAACCAGAATACTCTATTAACTGGAGTTTCCAGCCGGACATTGCGGGGGTGCCAGGGGAAGCTCGCACACGGCAGCTGCCACTGCCACCCACCACCCCACACTGCTGCAGCTCCGCATGCGGCCCCTGCCCCTGCCCCTGACCCCCTTCCCAACCTCCCCTCACCCTCCCACTCCACATTATATGAAAAGCCTGCTGGGTTATTTCAGATAACGAGTTTTTACATAACTGGCAATCCCCTTACTCTGGGGATGCCAGATAACAGAGATTTTACTGTATTTTAATTTTGCTTTCTGTCTCTAACATTGTCTTTTAAGAACAACTACTTAGAGGGAAATTAGGTAATATAATTTTTAACTAGAAGTAATCTTATTTGTGATTCTTAATAATGTATATATATGCATGCTAAGTGCATAATATTGCATTGTGGGTTATACTTTTACATGCATTTGGACACTTGCATTTGAAGCAGAAAAATGTGCACTCTGTTGTACATATTCTATGTTGATATTGCAAAAAGTTTTGTGTACGATTTATATTTTGAGATTAGTAATGGGTCAGAGATTTCACTATAGGTCAGAATTAAGTTTTAAATAAATAGGGTGATAAGATTAACATTCATGCATACTAGCATGGGAGAGACTGCCAACCTATAAATGCCTGGAGCAGTGCCATAGCAAGGGGCGAGGGGCTGTGGGGGCAGCGGGATGACCATCCCAGGTGCCGAAGCGAAGGAGTGCCAATAGGCACTGTCCAGATGGAGTGGGACATGGGACATAGCTGTAAGCAGCTCGTCTGGGTGGGCACGGGGATGGGGGGTGGGTGGCTTGCGCTCCTGTGTGCAATCATGGGCAAGCATGGGGGTGGGGCATATGCCCCTCGGATCTGTGTGCAGGGCGAGAGTGTGCTTCAGTGTGTTCCCAAAAATTATCTGTTGCAGGATGCAGTGTTTTTATATTGGTATTTAGGAACAAATTATCACTTGAATACTATAACTAAGAATGATACATGGATTTAAAAGCTGACCTTTCAGAATTTCAATTTGGTACATTTTTTTTTAATTACTTGTAATTTGAAATGGTTGGATAAGTTATTTTTTACAAGACAATCATATTTACTTTGAGGATAATTTTTACAATTTCTAGGCCAAATCAGTTTTCCAATCCAAAGCTGTTAGGTCTAAAATAGTTTAAAATGGAAGCTGATTGCAACTTTAATATTAGAGAGGACACTGTGGATCTATTGTTAAATGC